GTTACAGCGTAACACCCAAGCATCACGTCAAGCTACACTGTACAGTGCAAATGTGGATAGATATACAGTGTGCATGTATGTGTGTTTGTCAGCTTTCCTGTATGTATGCTTATTTGTGAGAGAAACTACAGGCTCTCAAGAAGATCTGTATTACTTTTTCTTCGGTTTCATGAATGTTTTCTAACTTTCTTAAAAAAATCCAAGATATCTTTAAACTCCCAGAAGTTAGCAGTTCCAATCTATGTGCACAAACTGTGAAAAATACCACCCCAGTTCCACCACTGTGTATAATGGTGGAAAACATCTGTCTCCTGAGCTGCGATGACAAAAAAAACAGAGATAAACAACACCTACATATGGCACATGTATAAAGTTCAAAATAGGAAAAAAATTACTTGGATGGAGAGGTGAATAATATTCAAAACACATGATTGAAAAGCTTTGTGACTGAGAAAACCCTCCACATGTATCTAAATCAGCCTCTCTTTTCAGTTCATCTTCCCTTCTGATGCAGGTGGGCTTAAGAAAACCAGATCGCAGCATTCTGTCGGTAAACAAGTGGCATTCCACAACCCGCCTGTTTGCAATAAAGCTCACCACCACAACATGATCTGCACCAGTTGCTTTGTTTAGACAGTAGTGGGTTTACCAGATCGACATCTGGAAGCAGGCAGCACCTATAATGGTAATAGGTTACATAATGCCAGTGAGAATTTAATGGTAACAAATTAAAGTTAAGTGAGCACTGTGTGTCCAAGTTTGTATGCTAAATGATGGAAACTGTCATTTGAAAGTGTTCATGTTAGGCCACAGTCAGACATATGGAGACACTAGCTTTTCAGGCTTTTTCTAAGTTTAACAGTTACACAGAGTAAATAAATAACTTTCAATTGTTCTAATATGCATTTTCTATCCATTCATTAGCGATACCAGCATCATCCTGTAGAGGGTCGCCGAAGGTGGCAGTTACAGACAACAGTGCATAACGACACCTGCAGCTAGTTCGTATTCACCAATGAACCTACCATGCATGTTTTTGCACTGTAAAAGTAATATAAAAAGGCATTAAGTCAGTAGGAAATAGAAAAGGTCATGCATTTAATTCGTTTAGCACCTTGCAAATGGGTGAACCGGAGTATTTTCTTTCATACTGTGATATAATAGCATAATTTATGGCCTTTTCATAGATTTACAAAGTTGGAAAGGGAGCATGTATAAGCTGGCCAAAGTGCTAAATCAGTTCAGTGCACTGCATTTGTTTTGTTTTGTTTGCTTGTTTACAAGCTATTAACATTCTTTTATCAGGTAGAATGAAGCTGACATTTGTGGCTCTGAACTAAATGCGTTCTCATCTTCTTTTCATTCTAGCAGTGTGTTCATGGCGCTAAAGTACTGGACATTTTGTTTATCACCACATATTTGCTAAAGAAACAGTTCATCATTCAGCTCGGGATGCCATACATACATTGTCCTTGAAATAACATGCACAGCAATAACATGTTTGCTGTGTGCCAGCTTGGCCTTGTCTCAGTCCTCAGCCTTCAGACATAATAATTGGAAGGAGACATGGTGGTGAATTTGATTGTATACATGACACAACAACAGCTGTATCCTATATAAAAACACATTCTTAACAGGAAGTGGAGTGGTTAAAGTGGTTAGAGTTATATTTTTATTTGAACAAATCAGGACAACTTATAGTAGCAGAAGTAATGTAGTTGCCAATGTACTTTTTAGTTGGACAATAATAAGATTCTAAATAATGAACGCCTGAAGAAGACACCAAAGACTTGGAAATATAAGATAATTTGGTTCAAGTTTATTAATTGTAGTAACTCGACTCTGCACTCCTCTTAATGTTAAGCTGGTAGTTCAGAGGAGCCACTGAGGGTACTATAGGAGAAGGCAAATGTTGCATCAAGCAGTCATGTTTGCGCAGCCCTCCCTGGAGGGATCAGACGCTTCCAACGGGAGTTACCTGCATCAGCCACCGCTAAAAAAAAATAACAGGCCTGTTACACATGAAATGAGCGACAGAGGCTTGAGGATTATGTACAGTCATTCTCTCCACATCGCACCAGTGGATAGCTTTACACAACACACTGTAGTGAGCAAAGACTGCAGGATGGGTTACTAAAAATGGAGACGACTCAGTTCCAGCGAGACAAGGAGGCAGAGTCAAAAGTCTGCCGGTAAACTCGTATGCATATGTATGAATCCAAGATCGGCGAATCAAACTGTGTTTTGGGTTTAAACTGAGGAAAACACTAGACTTAAGCTTACAAAGAAAGAAATGATAACAGTAATCAATATTTGTTATGACAATAAATATGGTTTGAGATTACAGACCATGTTGTGGAGGGATCATACGCACCACTGTAAACACTGTATGAACAGCAGCAATAATAAGCTGCACTTGTCTTCTACTGTATACTCTAGAGACTGATGTTACAACATGATGATAATGGCAATTTACTGCAGATCAGACAGAGGATCTGGTATTGTTTATATCATGCGACCTAATTGGTTACATATTTATTGTACACTTAATGAATACGTCATGCACTGAAGTGACTGATGCAGTACTCTGACACGTTCCACATGTCTAGCAGTTGTTTTAACTGTTACACGGTATAAATGCTTTTTTGGGGGCTTTTCCACACTGTTTATTTGGAATATGAAAATTGGTGGTTTTAAAAACACTGCAATTTGGCAAAAAAAAAATTATATATATATAATAGCCGCTTGAATTAAAGACCTGCCAGTACCAGGCCTTAAAAAACCTAATACATACAAGTATATCACACAAACCTCCACCTCAGATCTATCTGGCACAACGATGCCTGCGGAGCCTGCTGCCCAGGTACTTAAATCTAAGCGTACCAGCTGCTTCTGGGACTCAAACCTAGTTGTGAAAATCAATATGCATTTAAAAGGAGTCGTATCAGAATTCGTACTGCAGCCAGCCCCAACCTTAGAGATGGTACGGGCATAGCATCTGCAGTTCAGGGTTGTAATTTACATCTCTGACTAAAATGGTCTCAATATGACTGAGTGCAAAGTAACTTGCATAAAAATGCAGATATGCTGTATTTCCCAAAGTCAGCACTTATTCTAGATGCGTAGCCCTGACCGCAGATCCTGCCTGCCTCTCTGTTTGATGAGATTAGGACTGCATAAATGGGTCAGATCTTTCTATGTGATTTATTGGTTTTTTGTTTTTTTTTTATAGGGAAGACAGGCTTTTGTGACCATCCTTAAGACTATTAATTGGGTGATTTTGTGGAGTTGGTCAGGTATAATCTGATGAGATTAGCGGCTACGCTCTTTAAATAGAGTTCTGCAAGCCCAGGATTAGATGATCACAGCCAGTCGCACTCAAGAGCAACAGATTTTCATCTCTTTGGTTTCAGTTTGAGAGGAAAAACACAGTCGCTGTGATGATGGATGCTTGTTGCTGTTTGTAAAATATATAACATGATGGAATATTGAGATCGGAGTGGGGTATTTACTCTGCAAGTGCCGCTTGTTTGTTTCTTGCAGGGAGTTCATAACAGTGGAAACGCTCGGGTTTAGAGATGTGTTTAGCTGGTATGGGGCTGGGGGTGGAACGGGGAGGAGAGAAGGGGGGGTGCAGTACCAGGGGCCCCTACCTTCCTCCCCTCAACTATCCTCCTCACATCTGGATACAATGTAGGAGCAGGGCACTGAGGCCAGGGGGTGTATAGCTAAAGGGAGGGTGTTAGTGTGCTGGGGGATTCTTTACAAAACATCAAGAGTGCTGCTGCTGCTAGTGGTGGTGGATGTTGGGGTGGTACGGTTGTGTGTGTGTGTGTGTTGTGGTGGTGGGAGGGTGGTGGGGGGGTGGGGTGCTAAAAAGCTCCCTATCTTTGGTCTCTTCTTCCCTGTGTAGTTGACTGCAAGGCCCCCGAGCAACAGACGGACAGAGAGGCAGCTGGGAACTGAGGTAAGCAGCAGACAGCAGCCCAGGAAAACACAATGTGGGAGCACAAATCCAGATGAGGTAAAAAAAATAAATAAATAAATAAAATAAAATAAAAAAATCTGGTGTCTCCGCTCTCCTCTTGCACTGGATATAACTTGACAATCCCTCCAGGTTTAGACTGCCATACATTAAATAGATGTTTTTTTCCCTCTTTTGGTTTAAAAGTAAGAATCAAAATCAATGCGGCAGCACCGCCAGAGATAATGTCTTTCTTTTTTTTCCACACAGCCTCCCTTCTTGTCAAATTCTGGTCTTCGCATTACCTGCGCTCTAGCTTTACTGGCAACAATTCCGACCGAGGTTCAGGTGTGCGATGCTCGTGTAGCCTTGAGCTGCTAGCCTTAAGTGGAGACGGCGAGCAGGCTTCAGAGATCCTGTAAGCTCTCGTCTTTCTAACTTCACACCTCGTTTCTTTTTTTTAAATTATTTTTTATTGTCAAACTTGCAGTGTTCAGTCCCAACTGATGCTGACTCAAGTGGCATCACTTGAGGACATTTATCAGACTTCATGCAACTCCCTGAGAAGACACTAAAGGCTTTATATAACTTTTTTTTCCCATGAGCCCCAACTCCTGTGCATATACTTTGATGTGTAAAATCAGTGCACTTTCCCTTTAATATTATGTAACACATCCATTTTGTGAAATATGAAGATATTTAGGTGAGGAGCTAGGGGCAACTACAAGGGTCATAATGTAATCCATAGCACTTCCAGTCACAACAACACTTGAGAATTTATGCTATTTCTGTCTGCGGATACATGAAATAAAGGGAGAGCGGAAAAAGAAAAGGGCTTTGCTTGTTTTGTGGTCTTGTATTTTCCTTGCTGAAAACAATCCTCCAGAATAGGTGATGGATGCACATGGCCTGCAACCGGCTCCTGCATCCAAATTGCATTCATCTCGCACGCATAGAGTTGAACTGTATCTCTGATGCACATGCGGATTTCGGGTGAGCTCATTAGCCCCTGGGCGACCCTCCTCCTCCTCTTCACCTGTGTCCTCAGTGACCCTAAAGCCTGCTTGACCCTGGCACAGCACCTCCTGCTCCAACTTCCTCAATGCCTCTTCATTCCATTCACTCAAAGTAGAAGAAAATGTAAGGAGTAAAACTCTGACAGTGGTGGATCTACACGAAGGCTTAAATTTTTCTCTAATTCACAGAGGTCTTGGTATAATTAAAGCTTTTACGGTGCACAAATCTGCTCACTTCCTCCTATTATTCATTCTTTTGATTCATTCTGAGACAGCCAACAGTTTCTGTGGAAAAAGGAGAAGTCAGACTGCCCTCTATATTTCCATATGAGTGGATCTGACCTACCACAGAGGGATTTTTTCTTTTCCTACAGCAAAAAGGACATAACAAGTCAATAACATTGTTGCTCATTTAAAAAGCAATGCAATGACATACTTTGGGAATATGAATTTGTTATCCTAGTAGTGGTATTTATAAGGTATGTTCCCATAATTTGAGGAAACAAATCATGCATTTCTCCTCTATAATGACAAGCAAACATTTTTTGACCGGGTAAAGTCCATCCATATGAAGCCCCGTATCACACACACACACATACACACTGCTCGCTGAAACACATCGTGGCAAGGTTAGGCTGACATCAGCGGCTAACGATCAGTTCCTCTGTGGGCTGAATGATTAGCTGCAGTAGCCTGCAGACATTTCCAGCTTGTTTCCCTAAGTTAGTCAGACATGCAACATCACTGGCCCTCAGTCCTGAACAAACTACATCCACTCCCTTCCATTCGCTCTGATTCTGTTCAAAAAAAGGGGAAAAAAAACAAAACTTTTTGGAACTAATAGATGATTACAATGTAGTGGATATGGGGTTGCTGAGATGGGTTCAGTCAAGTGGAGAAGAACGGGCATATAAGTTTGTTGTAGTTGAGAGTTGTTTTCATATCCAAATGGAGTAACGACGGGAGTGCCTTGAGGGAGATTAGACAACACTGTGCGAGGGTGTGTGTTTGTGTAAAGGGGTGGAGTATGTGGCAGTTGCATCAAAGTGAAACTAAAGTAAGAATGAAAGGCTGGAAATATTTGCAACTATATTTTTAAGGTGGTAGTCCATAACTTCCTTTTTTGCTTCTCTTGTTTTCAGTTTCCAGCTGAAGTTCTTAATGTTAATTGCTGCTGAACTTCTGCTCCCTACTTCCCAGAAATCATTTTATAATCAAAGCTGTTTATTAGGTTCCTATGAGTGACATTCCTGTTCTTTGTCTGTTCTGTGACAATGGGCATCACCTACTTCTTTTATTTTAACTCCCAAACAGCTGCTCAATGTCATGCAAGAAGCTGGATTTTCCCAGGAAGAAAAAAAAAAAGGAAAAAAAAAAGAAATGAAAAAGAATCTAAACCTATTTTCTCATGTAAAAAAACTAAATGGGGACATTTGTATTCCTATTTAGAATGTGTTTATTAACTGGAACAGAATGCCAAATGCTAAAAAATGAGCCTCTCAGCTTAGGAAACAGTTCACCCAACCCCCACCCACCCTTAATGCCCTCTGGGCTGCTGTGAGTTTGGATTAAGTTTGGGTGCCATATCCCCTCCCTACCAAACCCTGCAAAACACACAGACACCTACATGCCAAGTGTGTGTGTCATGTTGGGCTACCAAATATGAAGAAAGGCCATCCAATCTAGACTAGATAAACGAGTTGGAAAGAATGCACAGGCGAGAAAAGCTGGTTTTTACAAATGATTAGGTATGATAGTACCTAAACGAATCCATATGACGTTTTCAATTCATGGTTGTTAGACACACGGGAGATTCATTTTTAAAAGGTAGAGGATAAATCTACAATAAAAGGTGTTGATGCACGCGAATTGGCAGAATCCTTTCTTAAATTCCCATTGTAATGCCATCTAATTAAAGTATGAGTGCATGTGTGTGTGTGGTGTGCAGGCAGGATGTGTGTGTATGAGGCAATGGATCAATAATGGTAGTCTACTACAGTGACATCTGGGCTGTACAAAGAGTGCTGGTCCTTCCCGCTGCAGCTCTTCTCTGCCTCTCTCTCTCTCTCTCTCTCTCAATCCCTGATCATAGCCACGTGGTTCTCTGGGCTATTTCTCCCAGCTAAGCTTATTTCTCTTCTTTAATCCCGCAGCAATCACAGCAACAATGCCAAGCGTCGGTTCATAGACGCAAGCAGAAATCTATTAACTATGATCACAATGTCAGCTCAAACCTGATAAGCACTGCTAATGAATCCAGCACATGCAGCTCCAGTGCTGCATGCTCGTGGTTGTTATTTCATTGGATCATCAATAATGTGTAAGACGGAAAATCAACATGAGTGACGGTGATGGATAATGCAGCTTGTAATGTAGTAAATGGGCTTCCGTTTGGGCTGAAGTGAGAGTCACTTTTCCACAAAACTCCAACACATCCTACTCAATTCAACTGATGAAATCTATGCACTGACAAAGACGCTCCAAAGCTGCTTGCATCACTGCAGGCCCGGGCTGCTCTGAGTGTCCTCAGCTAATACAGGGTGGCACTGATAAATGGGCTCGATATCCAGCCCTGATTATCAGATCAGCCACTCACTGTGGCCCACCTCTGATTTAAGCGTGGTTCCAAGCCTAGCTGGTTAAAATTACGATTTATTAGTACAACTGCTAACAGCAATGGTGGGAGCAGTGGTCTGTCAGTGGGGTTATTTGCAGAGTGTTCAAACTGCAAATCCTGCAGATACACACCTACATGTGTCAGATAAAGATGAGCAAGGAAGCACAAAATAGATTACACACTGCCTTCCTATTATTTAAGCATTTGGAAGGGGCTGATACTTTAGTAGGGCTATGATAAAAAGATGTATTAGTTGGAAAGTTTAAATGTTATTTTGCTACACGCATTCGGAGTCAGGAAACTAAAATTCCATTGAAAAGAATAGGTTGTTGTTTAACTGCTCACATTAATCACTGAGATATTTAGGCAACGTGCCAATCGCTGTGCGTAATCTTAGAATGACTGGAAATGTTTCCTATCAGTCTGTATCAATTATTGTAAAAGTATTCTAGCATTCAGTGTGCAATACTTGAATGAATGCAGATGATATTTGCAGTGTTTCATAATCTCCAACTTTAATAAACGTTGCCACCGATATTTTGAATTAAGCTCTGAGTGGATGTGTATAAATGACAGTATTATAATGTTACTTTTAAAGCACGTATTGGAAAGAAAAAACATAAAATCCAGCTACAGCTAATAGGTGTGGGTTGGATTTACTCCCACATTTAGTTTTAGTTACTTTGGGTAATACCAGGGCCTGTACAATGTCTTTGTTTTACACTGATAAGGGAAGTATGAGTAAACAAATGGCTTTTTTTTCTTTCTTTTTTTTTTTTGTTAAACAAGCTTGTTGTGGCTTTCAGTAGAGAGTTCTTGTGTCCCATTGTGGTTTGCTGTTTCGAAGGGGTTTTCCACCACTGAAACAATGAAATTCGGAGGTAAAAATGAATTATTGTCATAATGACAAAGTTTGAAGATAGCTGTTTCTGAGTCATACCATATAGCCACTGATTTAAATAAAAAAAATGATGGGAACTCTCTGTGAGGCCATTACCATGTTCCTCTCTCTCTCTCTCTCTCCACCTTGTTACAATGGGTTAAGGCTAAAATGGCCCTGTGCCTAAATCCCCCCCCTCAGCTCCTCCCCTACCCCCCACCAACTCTAACCCTTAACCCCTGTCCTATCTTAATCCTCTGATTACTACATCAATTTCTTTGGGTCTAATTTAGGCGGCCGCCAGCGTCATGGTTTAGTACCTGGAAAGTGCCACTGGGCTTGTCAAGGCTATATTGATCCATATGGGTGTGGAGGGTGCAAGGTGTGACCCAAATAAAAAAGGATTAGCTGCCCACCTGTTACCCAACTTTTGAGAAAATCTGCATCGAAGAATAAGCAGCAAACTTAAACATCCGCTGGAAATGTGTAGGATGACAGCAAATGTAAATTCCCTCTGATTATCCTAGGCAGTAAGCAATACGTTTCCCATGGAGGCCTCATTTATAATTTAATCCAGGAGCTTGGTGTTTCTAGGCTAACACAGAGAGATTGCCCTTTCAGAGTGGAAACCCCCACCATGTGGCAGGGAATCAATGCCATCACCGCAGAATAGACACCGGACCCTGTATTGAAATGATGTGGCTAACTGGACCACCAGCAAAGAGAGGTTCGCTTCTTCCATTTTTTTTCCATTTTCATTTTTGTTTTGTAATAATAAAAAGAAACAGCTGTTAAAATAGGATTTGCACTTGTTGTTTGCTGCCTCTCGCCATAATCCAACCTCAATATGCCACAGAAAGTTATTTAAGCCTGTGAAGGCAGATGCATATTTGCTTTCATGTAGAAAGGATTGATGCAATCTAAAGCATAACAAGGAAGAGTGGAGAGAAAGAACAGAAATAACAGAGCGTGTATGACTTCAGTACAACTGGCTTGGTAGGAAAACATATCTGTCTTGTGACTTGATGTCTTTACTTTTTTTTTTTTTTTTTTAAAGATCCATTACAGTTCAAAGCCACACAACATTAACACGAGCAGTTGGGACAGACATGAGGAAGTGCAGCCAAAGCAGGGTAGTAATTACAGTCAAAAAAAGAGGACTGAATAGATTCAATTTACGACTTAAGTATGCATATGTACAAGCCAATTAGCCAGCTCTGGAACCTCTCTCTGTGAATTCAGCAAGGTGTTGGATACCACCCACAGAGAACTCAGTCCATGCTAATGCTTGTCAGTATAACAAGGGAATAAACTGTTTTTCCATCTTTCTAAAGGTCTCAGCTAGAAGATACACACATTTAAGCCACAGCCATTTTCCACAAGAGAACCAAGCAAGGCACCTGGTGAGAAACACAAAAGTTGTTTTAAAAACTGCCCGAAATGAAGAAGACACCAGAGTTTGCTTTTCCACACATTAGTAATCATTCAGATTTGTTTCTGGCCACCTTACAAACACGAGTCAAACCTTTGCTAAACTTTGAGTTCAGTTTTGCTCTCAGTCAATTCATGAGGGGAATATTTAGCCATTATATGCTCTTCTATGGATGCTAAAGAATCTTTGCTGGAAAATAACACAACGAGCACTGGGATTAAAAGGAGTATAGAAAGACTGTGGGCCAGAAGACCAAAACAATAGGCTAAAATTCACTCTAAATCTCTGTAGAGCACAGGATGAGCTGCAAGGTTGGGAAATATTTCTCTGAGGGTTCATCACTATGAGCAAAGCTTTTACATTACACATTGTCATTTCATCTTTTGGTAATGCAATTTTCTGAGCATAGCAGCTTTAATGTTAACTGCTGAGTAAGGCTAAAGTCAGCAGAAGCTGCAATGTATCAATTACTTAACAAAAAGAAAAACCTAAGGTTAGCCGCACATCCAATTCAGTGACATTACCTTTAAAAATCTACTCTGACAGAGCCTTTATAGTGTTAAAGCCCCCCTCTCAATTGGTGAAGGTAAATGACTATGTCCATGGTGAAAAGGCACAAGGCAGTAATGAGTAATGAAAACAGCCGAGTTAGTGCTGCCATTCAGTAAAGGGCCTGCTGCTGTGGAATGTGAGGCGCCATTCATTCACATGGGTTAAAAATGCATTTCTGCCACCACAAAGCCCTGCCTTGTCCTCATTGTTTCTCGCCACACCAATAAAACACTTCCACATTCTGAGGGGACAAGACAAAAAAAATGAAATTGCTAATTTTACTCCTACAGATACAGGAAAAAAGGGGGGGTGAGGGGGTGGGTGAACTTTGCAAAAAAGCAAACAAAAAAAAGAAGTCAAGACTTTGGAAGAGATAGAAAAAAAAAGAGTGGTGGTGGTGGAGTTGAAAGTTTGATCATGATAAGTGAGGGGATGGAAAAGTAAAGCACACAAGCTGCGTACAAAAGACAAACAGTCCCATTGACAAAAGCCAAATGTATGCGGCATTTATTCAGAGTATGAAAAGACACACAATGACGGGAGGCAATCAAACACACACACAAAAAAAAGCTTCACTCGAGTCATGTGTGAGCTCTCGAGGGATCTGTTTGTGAATGCGAGGCATCTGTGACGGGCTCTGTAAAAACCTCATCTTTCGGTCATTTTTGGAACGTGCATCACGTTTGTATTAGTCAACCGCTAAGTCACATTTAAACATAGGTCATGTTCCTCCTTTGCCTCCCTTTACAAAGCTCAACAAGTGACCTCACTGTATATTTACTTGTATGACATAACCCTCTGAGAAAATACAGCCAACACCGAAATCTTCAGGTACTTAATCCTGTTTGTGGCTTTCCTACCTCTTGGACAGACAGGTAAAAAACAAAAGAACAAAACAAAAAACACAGCTGATCTAAAGTCTAGGCACAAATCAATCCAGAAAAGCAGTTATTTACTCCCCCCCCCCCCTTCCCCTAAAGATTATTGACTACATGTGTTTACCTTCGAGTCTATTCCTGGGACTGTTCTGTGAGTTGGTGAACAGGTGGCGCTCTTAGGGGCTGTTTATTATCTAACAGTTAATTTGGGGAAGTTGGATTATTTGTTGTTGTTGTTGTGTGGTGAAGTCGGGTGTTGTATTCACCGGTTTAACCACAGAGTGAGAGCTGCAGGCTAAAGAAGAAATGTTTAACATAATGTCTGAAATCTGACATGGGGGAGACAATGTAATCCTGTCTGCAAAACAACCCTCTCTCTCTCTTCCTCCCTCCCTCCCTCCCTCCCTCCCTCTGCTCTCTATTTCTTTCTCTTTCTGTATGTGTGTCTGTGTGTGTGTGACCTTAGACAGAAGAAAATGCTGTATCTTTCGACAACTACAGAGGAAAACAGTGCACCACGAAAAGCCAATCTCAGAGGAGTGAGGAGGGAGGAGAAAAAAAAAGAGAGAGAGAGAAAAAAAAGAAAAAGCGATCAAGTAGAGTAAACTCACAGCTGAGGATCCCATGCAGACCGTCAATTTGTAACAGATAATTACTGGACTATTGAAGGAACACCAAATCCAACTCACCACGTTCTACCACAGAGATGTATAGAAGCCGCTGTAAGAGCACTCCAGCAATACACACAAGTGAACATCACAGTGTTTTGTGTGCAAACTCCACCAACACAAAGCCACCTCTATCTATTTAGGCTACTTTTTGGTAGGCAAAATTCCAACAACACCAGATAAGACAATGCCTAGTTTTTTTTCCCCTCCTCCCCTTGTCCTTATCATTTGTATTACTCAAACTACAAACAAAATGAAGGTGAGTGTGTTTTGGCACACGGACGCTCGTGCACACGCACACACTCCCTCACTGCCCCCCCTCCCCATCCTCCTCCCTCCTCTCCCTCCTCTCCCCCTCCCTCCTCTCCCTCTACTGCAAACTATGCTTTTACATAACTATCTCCTCTGATAACTACTCCAGCCAGCCCCTGAAGGAGGATCTCTATGACAATATTCCTGTAATACACCTATAATATTTTCACTTTAATAGCTTTTATAGTGACCTTACCTTTATGGATATTTTATCACCTCTGCCTATAATTTTCACTGCTGCTGCTTAGTAAGTTTACAACACTTGTTTTATCGCCTTTAAATATCGCTATAAAACCCCTTTAGGAACTTCATTTTTTGCCTATTATTTGTGCACCACCCTTCCTAAATAGGATTTTAACTGTGGCTCCTTTTTTTGTGCAAGGTTCCACTCTGTTATCTGTCAAACATTCCTCAAAATGACCCTTATCTCCACTGTAGCACATGCACTTTTTTTTTTGTTTTTTCTTTGCTGCCTGTTTCTTCACCGGCCCCTTATACTCTTTAAGGAAATGACTAGGTTAAAAGTAAAAAAGATTGCAGTATAGAAGCAGCAGCAGCAGCAGCAGCAACAGCAGCCAGCCCCCCCTCCACCACCTCCTCCTCCTCCACCACCTCCTCCTCCTCCTCCCCTACGATGGAACACACCCTCAACATAACAAACAATAATAATTATATACAGTCACTTCCTTACCGGTTAAAACACTGCCGAGCTGAAACACTCGTTTAAAAAAAAGAAAAAGAAAGAAAACCGGTGCAGCTCTCCCCCAAAAGCAAATTGTAAAGAGTCCAGATCCAGCAGAGACACACTGA